AAATAAACATTTAGATTAATTTTTAAAAGGATTTATTTCATTTTAATTAGATGTGTGGGTGTATATATCCGTGTGTGGGCACATGCCCACAGAGGCTGTAGGTGCTGGGTTTCCTGGAGCTGGAGTTACAGGTGATTGTGAGCTGCCTGATGGCAGGCGCTGCAAACGGAACTTGGGTCCTCTGTAAGAACAATACATTCTCTTAACCACTAAGACATCTCTCTAGCCCCTCAAAACAGAAGCGTAATGGGTACTCTGAGGACTTTTTAATGATAGAAGATATTTTTATACCATTTAAATTTACAACTGTCTCATGTTTGTGAGCATGCGCATGCAGTTTTCTGTCTACCTCAATGTTTTCCACGAGTGTTAGATTCAATTTATATTTATTTTATGAATACCTCTTTAAAATCTCTCAGATTTCTGTCTTACTTTTCTTTTTCTACTCTGCTTTTCCTCTCTTGGCTCTGCTGGCCTTGTTGTTTCTGGTGCCTTTGTCTTTGAGATGGATGCATGCATATTATTAGGAAGACAAAGAACACTGGGCCAGAACCCATAAGGCTGTGGTGCCAGCAGCTTAGTCTTGTTCTGTTGTTAATTTGGCTTCTTTCCACTTGTAATTTTCTAAGACCAAATAGTTTTGGCTAACTACCATGCACACAAGCTGATGGACAATTTAAAATGATTATATAGATATTATATGTATTATCATGCTCTACGTTGAGATTTTCTAAATGTTTTGTCTGTATGCAGCTTTCCATTTTGTCCTCAAAGTCTTTGATTTTTTATCAGACTTCATATTACACACCCTAGTATTTCCCTTAGAGTGCTTGCGTGTGTGTGCGCTTGTGCATGTGTGCTTGTGTGTGTGCTTGTGCATGTGTGTGCATGAAGACCCAGAGGACAACTGCAGGTGCCGTTCCTCAGGTACTGTTCATCATTGTTGTTCTTTTTTAATGCAGACCTCTTAGTGGCTGCAGCTTTCTGAGTGAGCTAGCTTTCCCATAAATCTGAAGGTCCTCTGTCTCTGCATCCCCAGTTCTGGGATTACAAACATGCGTCACCCTGTTCAGTCTTTTAAAAAAAATCCCAAAATGTGTTCTGCAGACAGAATTCAGTTGTGCTTGTCTTGCTGATGATCCATCTCTCTAGTTCCTCTAGAATACTTCTTTCCTTTTTGGGGGGATGAGGGACAGGAGTCAGAAATCCTCCTCCTTCTTCCTCTTTCTCTTCCTCCTTTTCTTCCTCCTCCTCCTCCTTCTCCTTTTCCTCCTTCTTCCCTTTTCCTCCTTTTTTTTCAGTGTTACTTGCTCTGTAGGTTTTATGTGGCTTCATTTTTACTACCTTTAAGGTGTCCACGTGGGCTGGCCTGGTTTGGACTGTGACTGGGAGGAATCCTGACACAATCCCTATGAGGGATTCTTGGATCATCTGCTGATGTCTCCTGCACTAGCAGAATAGCATGAGAACTCTGAGAAGTATCTCTCAGCCACCAACATTTCCCATGTAAATAGAGCAGTAAGTGAGGCATGGAGAGAGCAAGATCTACCATCAGAAAATCATTGGCCTGGGAGATAGCTCAGTGGGGAAGCCTTTGTCACACAAGACTGAGAACCTGAGTTCTGTCGCCCAGAACTCACATAAAGCCAGATACTGTAGTGTGTGTCTGTAGTGTCTGTGCTCCTGCTAGTAGGCAAAGGCAGGAGAGTCCTTAGTATGTCAGGTAGCCTGGTGTAGTATGGCACACAGAGATGCAATGTAGAAGTGGGGACTGGTACCTGAGATTGTCCTCTGACCTCTACATACCTGCTGTAGCAGATGCACACACACACACACACACACACACACACACACACACACACACACACTTAGAACTTTTATGAAGTTAAAAACAGAGACATTGTAGTCCTTCGATTGAATGATGACCTTCTTGCCCAGATAGTATATCACTACTTTCCTATTACTTGAGTAAATTGCTTAGATTCTGAGGTAATACAGAAGTAATAGAGATCAGTGGACAATGAGAAACACCGAGGGCTCTATCAAGGAAAACTTGATTTTCTTCATCAGGAAGAAAATTTGGCTAAGCTCAGGTATTGTCCTAGTATAGGGTATCCCTTGGTTCCTACAGAATACATAATAGATGTTCTCTCTCCCTCTCCTTCCTCCATTCTCTTCCTCCTCCACTTCCCCTCCTCTTCCACTTCCCCTCCCTCCCTCCCTCCCTCCCTCCCTCCCTCCCTCCCTCCCTCCGTTCCTCTCTTTCTCATTTTTGGAGACAGGATCTCATTATTTTTCCCTGGTTTTCCTGAAACTCACTGTGTACACCTCAAACTCACAAAAATTCTTTCTGCCTATGCCTCCAGAATTTGGGGATCCAAGGGGTATACCCCATGTCTGGCAGTAGACGTCATTTAAAAAGCAGCATCTCCCAGTTTCATTTGTCTTTACATCTAATTTCCTCGTGTTGCCTCCTCTAGAAGTTCTCCTCTTCCTTGGCCTGTGCTTTGATATCAGAGGTCCAACTTCCTCAGTGCGTCACTCAAAGATATGACAAGACCAGGAAAATAAAAGCACATTGCAAGAGTTTGTTAAGTAAAAATCAGAAATGACCCCTGCTTTCAGAGAGCTTTCTTTCCATCTACTAGAAGGATAAAATCTACCAATAAAAGACAACCTGAGCACACACAGCAGAGAAAAAATACATGTAAGGGGCCTGAGAGGAGGAAGCCAGGTAGATACTTATTTTCTCTGTGTTCAGCTGAAGTCACCTTAGTCTTCTTGATGACTTGAAACTATTCCCACTTTATAGTTCAGGACTATGATGTTAGTAGACATTAAATGCTTTATGTCCTGGGCAGCTGATGGACATAAAGATGGACAGACTGAGCTTCTGCTGTGTGAACTGGAAGCTTCCGTCATCACTGGGCAGAGTGAGGGAGAAAGCTCTGAAAGGAAGCTGGTGATGAGCCTCAAAGATTGACAGGGTGGATGATGCAGAAGTGGGGACTAATACAGGCTGTGGAGCATAGCATGTGAAGTATTCAGTGGGAGACAGAGTGTTCTGGGGAACGGAACAGTAGGGCTGCTAGAGTAAGGGAAGAGACACATTTCACCGAGTACAGGTTGGTTTGGGAGCAGAGTACCATGGGCCTCGTCTTCCAAGTTGAGTTTGGACTTTATTTCTGGACTCCTTTAATAAACCATTGGAAGTGTCTGTGGAAAGGAGTGACAAGGCTTTATAGGTTTACATCCATATGGTGTGAGGCACGCACTTAATGTAACGCACTTAAGAAAGGGAGAATTTCTCATCAAGAGTGCTAGTGTTCACCAAGTTACTTGAAATGGATGCAGAGTGTTTGATATCCCCACAGCAGTCCTGAGGAACAGGCTCATTAGTGCTTGGCATCTAGAGGTCAGGGAACAGCCTCAGAGGTTTTACCTCAGGTGTCATCCCCCTTTCTTTTGAGAGGCCCTCCTACTCACCTGACATTCACAAAATAGTCTCGACTTGCTGCCTGGCGAACCAGGTTCCATCTCCCCCAAAAGCACAAGCAGATGCTGTCGCACCCATTTTTGCTTTATGTGGGTTGTAGGGAGTGAATTTAAGTTATTATCCTTGCAAAGCAAGCACTTTATGGACAGATCCTAGGAACATCTCCCTATTACAGACAGGAAAACTCTGAGAGGTTCTGTAAGGATGGGTTAATCCAGCGCTACTGTTGCCTCTTTCTGACAACAGCCCAAGGAACAACTTGGGACAGTTTTTCTTCTCCATTAGATTAATTAAACTTTTTACATATGTGAATGATAATTACCCCCCATTTCCTCCCTCCAGCTTTTCCCTAGTCCACATACTCCATTCCCTTTCAAATTCTCGGCCTCTTTTACTTTCATTATTATTGTTACAACTACAAATGAATAAGCACATAAAACCTGCAGAGTCTATTGAGTATGGGTAATATGTGTGTGTTTCTAGGTCTGGCCACTGTATTGGGTAACCAACTAGGGGGCTCTGGCCTGGGGAAGACATTCTCCTCTGCTCAGCAGTTGTTCATTGCCTATAGCTCTTCATCTCGGGGTGGGGTTCTGTGACTGATGTCTAAAGGCAGATGTCCTCGTCCTCTGGCTCTTAAAATACTTTTGTTACCTCTTCTATTATGCTTCCTGAGCTCTAGGTATAGGAGTTATATTGTAGATGTATCATATCAACTGGGACTGGGCATCCCATGATCAACTGTTCTCTACATTTTGACTGGTTGTGACTTTCTGTTGGTCTCAGTTTGCTGCAAGAAGTTCCTGTTTATGCTATACAGTACCCAGCAACAGCCCAAAACATAACGTGGGCAGTTCTTTTTAGCCAAGTGTGATAGACCTGAACTTAGTTAACATCAGTGTTGGATAAACAGAGACACAAGGACTGTTATGTGAGCCTAGGTCCTGATGCCAGGGTCGAACCTGTGACCTTTTATCTTCTCTGTAGTCGAGGTTTCCCAGGGAAGCTGGCACTCTGCAAAACAGTTGTCCTGTTCTTGGGAGTATCATGGACAACCTTGCTCCAAACTCCTTAGCCTAGGTTTTTCGCTCATTTCTAAGCAAATGTATTGATTTAGGCTTATAAGTATCGAGGTCTTGGGTGTGTGGTGTAAATTACTTTTGAGATGGTTCTAGCAAACTTCCGGGTTTTGGTAAGCATCACATCTTTTTATTACTAGAGTCGAGACAGGGAGGTTCTCTGGAATTTAATTGTTGATGAATTATTCCCTTTTCTGGGAGCATCCTTATTCCTTTGTGTATGTAAGCATGCCTCCCTGCTTTGCTACCTTGGGAGTTACATTTGTTCATTTTTGTTTTTTTGTCAAGGGCATGCTTGTGTTTTGACCTTATAAAAGTTTTTGGTGTACAGTTAAACAGCTGCATAAGGAGACTCTGCTCAATGTCTGTGATCACATCAGACCATGTGGGCCAGTCTAGTGACCTTTCTGTTCCATTTGCTGCAGGTGACAAGAAGTACATCATGGGGCCCAAGCTTTCCACTCTTGATGCCACTGTCTTTGGGCACTTGGCACAGGCAATGTGGACTTTGCCAGGGACGAGGCCGGAGCGGCTAATCAAAGGCAAGTACCAACCCCTTTGTGTTATAGGAGCTGCTGGGACGGGTGGGTAGGGAGCAGCACGGGTTTAATGAGACTCAGTGAGGCCCCCAGTTCTGTGTCCCTAACATGTAGCCAATTTGGTATCCACCACTTTCACTGCTTTTGTTCTTTTGGTAGAAACTTTGCCAAGAAAGTAGCAATAAAGGACCAGGATGATTTAGAATTGGTCCAAACCCAGGAGCCTAAGTGGCTTGGGTGGGGAAGTTTTCTGCCATAGCTTTGGAACAACCAGGACACCGTTGGCCTTGACTTTGTGTATGAGTGTGATGGAGTGGGTTGTTCTTTGGTCCTTGCTGCTGGCAGAACCACACGAGCTACTACTGGAGCTGCTTGACAGGGTGAGAAATTCTCCTTAGTGTAGATGACTAGGAAGACAGACCAAATAGTCAGCAGTTCTGAAATTACACTTGTGGAGGGTCAGTGAGATGGCACAGCAGGCACAGGGGCCTGCCCCCAAGCCTGCTAGCCAGTGTTTGATCTCCAGAACCCACACAGTAGGAGAGAATCAATTCCTCTGACCTTACTTGTGCTACTCTGAATAGATAAGTATAATAAAAATAAAGCCATGCACTGCAGCTATACATACAACTGTCAGATATTACACATTTAACTGGAGGAAAGATAGAAAATGTAAAAAATGAGAAAAGTAAACAAGGCATGGGGGTTCACACCTGTAACCCTGGCACACGGGGGGCAGAGGCTAAAGAATGGTGGGCTTGAGACCAGCATTATTGGCATAGAGAGTTCCAGGCCTGAGCTAACAAACAAGCAGACAGACACACATAGTTGTGATTTCACCCATCACAGAGAACACTGATATATTGTGCTATGTGTTTTCATTTTTTTTTTTATCAAGCACAAGTGTGCATGCACTTTAAAAAGCTGGAACTATCGTGTTGACACAGTTTTAACCTGAAGTTTTAAATAGGCAGTATATTTTACACTTCCTTTGTCATTAAATATTCTTCAAGAATGTATTTTTAGTAGTTATATAATATCCTATTCTTTTGCTATATTGTAATTTATGTGGTTAGTATTTTTTTTGTATTTATGGGTTTTTAAAGATATTTTTGCTAGTATTCTTTTTACAAGTTTCCAGCACATGGGACAGGGCTGTACTGAGTACATGCCTGCCTGCAGAACGCGTGTATGTGCGTGTGTGTGGCCCCATGTTTGACAAAAGCTTGCTGGCTAATGCCCCAGAATAGGCAGTAGGGATTGCCGGGGAATGTTGTAGACCTCTCCTTCTTCCTCATTCCTACTGTATGTTATTGAATCTTAGAGAAAATTGTCTTGGATCTCGGTCTGGTGACAGTGTTTCCAGTGGCACAGAATGTTTTTTGATTATTATGGATATTAGGGTGACACAGGAAGAGAAAACTACTCACATTTTTTTTTTTTTTTTCCAAAAAGGAGTACAGGGTGTTTCCCTGTGGGAAATCCCAAGAGAAGGCTCTTTTCTGTCTAGGATTGCCTTCTGGGTAGAAGAACATTCAGATTTGAAGTTGTCCGAGAGAGTCACTTCAGTTCTTTTCCTTCCTTCCTTCCTTCCTTCCTTCCTTCCTTCCTTCTTTTCTGTCTTCATTGATTGATTGTATCCTTACCACACATCCAATACTCTACAGAGAATGAGATTGTTATGTGATTGTTGAGCATGCCTTGAAGAAATCCTGTTTTTCTCTTCATAAAGATTATATATTTAGCATAGGCACTTATGTTAACATGGTGTCCTCTCTCCCTCTGTCCTTCGCTCCCTTCCCCCACCTCTCTCCTGTCCTGCCAACTTCTGCTTCTATAGTAACCTTTACAATTTTTTTTTTGGTTGGTGGCATGCTGAGTGGGCCATCTCAGGGTAAAGGTAGATTCCAGCTCCAGATGTTCACTCTTTGTTCCATTCTCTTTTCAGGGGTAGGGTGTGATATGTGGGGTCCCGGAACTTGCACATCAAGGCTAACCCTCTTAACTATGCAATAGAATTATGACTTCGTCTTGCATAGCTCATGGCTGTTAGGAAGTAGGTCCTTACCTCTCGCAATTCCAGGAAGAAACACAGGGCAGTAGTTCATGACCAATAGTGTAAAGTTCCATGCCAGGTCAATCTACTCCTCAACCGAGACTGTAGGATCATGGTTGGAGGTGATGAATGTGCAGGTGAGTATGAGTCCAGCAAACGAGGAAAGCACATGCAGTGGCGTCTTGGTCACAATGAAGAGCATAGAAATGTCCCCTGATTATTTGTAAATGGACGTTTCCTGTCCCGACCATCAGGTTCCAGATAACTGACTCAGAGGCTGACTATGAATTATAAATGCTCGGTCAATAGCTCAGGTTTGTTACTAACTAGCTCTTACATTTATGTTAACCCACATTCCTTATGTACACTCTGCCACTTGGCACTTTCTTTATTGGCTTCCTCTGCGCCTGGCTGGCGACTCTGGCTCTTCCCTTCCTTTTCTCAGAATTCTCCTAGTCTGGCTGAGCTCAATTTCTCCCTGGGCAACTACTGGCCAATCAGCTTTTTATTAACAATGAGCATAATCCACAGTAATTATTAATTTTCATGATCTCACACAAAAGTGACATTAGTGTCCCCCCCCCCCCCCCCAAGGGAACGACTCCTCTGTTAGAAAGGTAAAGAAACAAGGGCATAGAAAGAAAAGCAGTCTCAGTGGTAGAGGCTCAAATGCTGTGTGTCTCATAGATCTTATGGCTAGAGTTTTATTTTCTTTTCTTCTTTCTCCTGCTTTTCTTGTTCTACCCTTTTATCTTCCCACTCCTTCTCCTTTTGCTTCCCTTCCTCCTCTTCTCCCATTTTATTTTTTTTTTTTTGTTTTGTTAATGCTGGGAATGAAACCCAAGGCTTTTTGTGGCTAGGCCAGTGCTCTGTAACTGAGCCATGTCCCTAGCTTTCATTTTAATATACTTTTAAAAATTTTTACTTTTCGGGCAATGGTGGCGCACGCCTTTAATCCCGGCACTCGGGAGGCAGAGAGAGAACTCACTCTGTGAGTTCGAGACCAGCCTGGTCTACAGAGCTAGTTCCAGGACAGGCTCCAAAGCCACAGAGAAACCCTGTCTCGAAAAACCAAAAAAAAAAAAAAAAAAAAAAAAAATTTTACTTTTATATTTAGAGACAAGATCTCATTAAGTTGTCCATGGTGGCCTTGAACTCACTCTTGTAGTCCAGGTGTCACTATTTTATTGCTGTGAAGAGACACCGTGACCCACAGCAACTCTTATAAAGGAAAACATTTAATTAAGGGGTGACTTACAGTTCCAGAGGTGTGGTCCATTATCATCATGGCTCAGAGTGTGGCATGAGGCATAGCGCTGGAGAAGTAACTGATCTGCAAGCAGAAAGAGACCCTGGGCCTGGCATGGGCTTTTGAAACCTCCAATAGCATCCTTCCTCCAACAAGATCACACCTGATTCAACAAGGCTATACATCTCTTAATATTTCCAGTCCTTTCAGATAAGGCCATTTTCTGGTGAACAAACATTCAAATGTTTGGACCTGTGGGGGGCATTCTCATTAAAACTACCACTTTAGACAAACCTTGACCTTCTGATCTGCCTGCCTCAGGCTCTCAAGTCTTCCTCTCTCTTGCTGCTGTCTCCACATTCTTTTACAGTTCCTGGTTACCTGTGGTTCTCATTGGTACTGGGAAGATGTCCCATGCCTATCCCCGAAGGAGAAAACAGGGAAAGAGTTTATATGCATCTCCTCAAGGGAGTGTTAATGCTCATTCTCAGTTTCTGTCTCCTGAGCCTATGGATAACTACCTCAGTGGAAGACAAATAGCATGGGCTCTTAAACCACGTGGCCTTCACTATTGTGATTTAAGAATAAAATTGGTGACCTCTAACCAGTAGAAGGCCTTAGATTTGCAGGCCCGTAAAGCAGGGACTCTTGTGTCATTATGCTTATGAGGGCGTGTAAATTCAAGGAAAACACCTATCAGGGTCTGGATGTTTTAATGACAGGGGAAAACGTTTACAGTAATGTTAAATGGGGTAACCGGTAATGACAGTAGATAAGGAGAAAAGACAAGTTAAGTTAAAGCGTTAATAGTGATTACCCTGGATTGATGATAAATGCTTTTCCTTTGTGTTTATATCCTTTCCATGCACAGACTTGTAGTCTTACAAATCATTTTCTCTAATAGAGCAGTTAGACTCTAACCAATAGCCATCAGTGTGGAAAGAAGTGAAGCGTCCTTTGTCAAGGGACTGAAAGAAAGAAAACTCGTGTGTGCTGCCTTCACATACTAATAGGTCATGAGATAAGCACAGGTGCTGTACTGTGAAGCTCAGGTCCTTGTGTGTGCTGTTAAGTAGACAAGGGACCGCGACAGACTGTGTAGCAAATGCAAGTCTGTGTAAGCACGGGAAAAGCACATGAACATAAAAAATGTTACTAGACATTCTTTGATCTTTGCTTATTAGTATTTTCTAGTTTTTTCACTAAACATGGATCACACATGTAAGAAGGGAAATGTTTATAAAGCTAAAAAGAAAGCGTCTTTAGAGGAAGTTAGTCGAATTACTGTTTATAAGCAACACTGCCATCTGGTGGATCAAAGGCAAAACTCACACAATTTCTTCATTTTTCTGCTGGAAATGGTGATCAGATACTATTTATAATTGTGTGTACAGCTGTTTAACTTGAAATATTTAAAGGAGTAAAAACAAATTTTATTAGGTGTGTTTGTAGGCACAGTTATCTGTAAGGACAATTTTTTTTCATCTATTTATTTTACATCCCACCTGCAGCCCCCCCCCCCCCCCCTTCCTCATTCCCTCTCCCAGCCCTCAATCCCCTTTTCTTCCGTCTCCATCCAGGAAAGGGCAAGTCTCCTATGAGTATTAATAAAACATGGCCTGTCAAACTGCAGTAAGACTAAGTACCTCCCCATATATTAAGATTGGTCAAGGCAACCCAGTATGAGAAGTAGGGTCCCAAAAGTCAGTAAAAGAGTTGGAGACAGCCGCTGTCCCTACTATTAGGAGTCCCATAAGAGGACCAAGCTACACAACTGTAACATATATGCAGAGTGCCTAGATCAGTCTCATACAGACTCCGTGGTTGTCAGTTCAGTCTCTGTGAGCCCCTATAAGCCCAGGTTAGTGGATTGTGTGAGTCTTCCCATGGTGTCCTTGACCCCTGTGGCTACCACACCTCTTTTCCCTCCTCCTCTGCAGGCTTCCTGAACTCCACCTAATGTTAGGCTGTGGGTCTCTGCTTCTGCCTCCGTCAGTGGCTGGTTGAAGCCTCTCTGATGACAATTGAGCCAGGCACCAGTCTGGTCACAGGAGACAGCAAATATAGGTTACCTATCTACTATTACTAGGAGCCTGAGCTGGGTCTTCCCCACAGACTCCTGGGAGATTCCCTTGTGCTGGGCTTCCACACAACTCCGAAATGCACCTCCCCCAGCAGTCTCCCTCAACACTCTCCCCTTTTCTGTCCCTCCCCCAGCAGTCCCCTCAACACTCTCCCCTTTTCTGCCCCCACTAACTCGATCATTCACATTCCCATCCCCACTCGCCCTCGGTCCATTCACAAAATCTCTTCTATTTCCCCTCACCAGGGAAATCTGGGTGTTCCACAATGAACTCTCCTTGTTACCTAGTCTCTCTGGCTCTGTGGATTGTATCATAGTTATCTTTTATTTTGCCGCTAGCATCCATTTATGAGTGAGTACGTATCATGTTTGTCTTTATTCGTATGGGTTACCTCACTCAGGATGATTATTTCTAGTTCCATCCATTTGCCTTCAAATTTCCTGGTGTATTTGTTTGTAACAGCTGAGGAATACATCATTGTGTAAATGTACCATGTTTTCTTTATCCGTTCCTCAGCGGAGGGATATCTAGGTCGTTTCTAGGTTCTGGCTATTACAAATAAAGCTGCTATGAACATAACTAAGGAAGTGTTCTTGTGGTGTGATTGAGCATCCTTTGTGTACATGTACCTGAGCCCCTCCCTCATCCCCTTCAGATGCCCCACCTGAGCCCCTCCCTCATCACCTCCAGATGCCCACCTGAGCCTTCTCCCTCATCCCCTCCAGATGCCCACCTGAGCCTTCTCCCTCATCCCCTCCAGATGCCCACCTGAGCCCTCTCCCTCATCCCCTTCAGATGCCCCACCTGAGCCCCTCCCTCATCCCCTCCAGATGCCCACCTGAGCCTTCTCCCTCATCCCCTCCAGATGCCCACCTGAGCCCTCTCCCTCATCCCCTCCAGATGCCCACCTGAGTCCTCTCCCTCATCCCCTCCAGATGCCCACCTGAGTCCTCTCCCTCATCCCCTCCAGATGCCCACCTGAGTCCTCTCCCTCATCCCCTCCAGATGCCCACCTGAGTCCTCTCCCTCATCCCCTCCAGGTGCCCACCTGAGCCTTCTCCCTCATCCCCTCCAGATGCCCACCTGAGTCCTCTCCCTCATCCCCTCCAGATGCCCACCTGAGCCCCTCCCTCATCCCCTCCAGATGCCCCGCCTCCCAACATCTCCTTGGGAGTTTGGATTGTAGCACTTGGATTCCGGGGGGCACAGACCTTCTGACCATACCACTGTTAGGTCATAGCCGTTGAGCGCTAACTCTTGCTTATCTGCCACACTGCAGGGGAGCTGATCAACCTCGCCATGTACTGTGAGAGGATCAGGCGGAAATTCTGGCCCGAGTGGCACCATGACGACGACAATACCATCTATGAGTCTGAGGAGAGCAGCGAGGGTAGCAAGACTCACACACCCATGCTGGATTTTAGCTTCTACTCAAGGACAGAGACCTTCGAAGATGAGGGGGCTGAGAACAGTTTCTCCAGGACGCCAGACACGGATTTCACGGGACACTCTCTCTTTGATTCTGACGTGGACATGGATGACTGTACAGACCATGAACAGTGCAAGTGATGTCCCGCCACGGACCCCTCTTCCTTAGGAGCTACCACTCCCTGGGGTCGGTCTGGTTTCCCAGGTAGAAATCCACCTGAGCTGGAAGGAGATCTTCAAGCTTGGCTCAGTTTTAACATGCTAACGGGACTATAAGCCGCCTTATTTCTTTTTTTGTACAAACAAAACACAGAACCATTCAGATGGCTCCGTTTAAAACAGACCAAACAAATATCAGCATGGTACCTGAAATCCATTTTCGTTTTCATTAGAAAACCAATATTGTGTGGGAGGGCAGATACATGAGTGTGGGTTGTCACCTGAGTGTTGACATTGATCCTTTCCAACTGAGGACTCTATTGTCAGGTGGATTCTTGAGCATCAGCCATCTACCTGGGTTTTAAGTAATAAGAGGTATCATCAAAAAACATGTAGGCGGTGATGTCCTTCAGCTGCTGCTGTACTTTGTGTGTGTACTTGTATGTTGAGACAGAAGTCAGATGAAATCCGCCAATATTCAGTGGACAGATAACCGTTATGCGTGCGGCGCTGAGTGGGGGTGCTATGCAGCAGGAGTTTCGCTCTGAACCCTGCCAGTGACTAGCTGGGTGATTTGGGGCAGGTCCTTTAACTCTTGTGTGCCTCATTTATCCCACCTGTAAAGTGGGCGTGACAATACTCTCCACCTACCTACCTCACAGGGGTGTTGTGGGGATTCGCGCGGGCCGCATTAGTATGGCGCTTTAAACTTCCCGGAAGTGGTGCAACACGAGCCAATTTTATTCTTCACTGGGCTTCATACATGTTAGGATCTGCCGGCAAAGTGACTTCCATAGCTGGGCAACAAGCACGGCCACTCGCAAAGGCTGTGCAGAATAAACACACACAAAGCCAACTAGGGCCGAGTCATTCCTCTTTGTGGCTTGGCTGGAAGAACTTTGGAAGTAGCTTCGCAAATCATCATCAGCTACAATGTGGTCCTCCACTCTAGGCCTTTACGGAACAACGTTTCCTTCATTGCCGAGTGCATTGGCGTGTGGCTTCATTGCCTCCCAAGTGCTAATGTACCCGTGTTTATTGATTTGGAGAAGATAAAGCTTAGGACCATGGCGGGTTAACAGAGGTGAAGGAAAGTATTTGTTGTAGGCAGAGCTTGTTGACTGTCATGGCTTTTTGAAGACAAAGATACATTGGAAAGAGAAGCCTCAGGGTGTTCCTTGTGTCTGAGTCCCCTGCAGTTTCCGGACTGCACCTTGTTAGGTGTCCCACTGTCGTTGGGTCAGAGTAGGACAGGACTGACACCAAATCCTAGGGCTTCATGATCTCTCATCCCTTCTCATCACCCCCCTCTCTCTCCCTCTCCCTCTCCCCAGAGCCCCCGAACAGGTGGAATGTCTCTGTATTTGTCTCTGAAAACAGCGTTGGATAGCTTAGTTCATTTTCCAGGCAGTGGTGGGGCAAGGGTTCTGTGTAGTGGCTGTGGATTGGGCTGTAAGACTTAATGACTTTGCTTCTGATCAACTGCGTAAAAGTTACTCCTTACTGGGTTGATGAGGCCCCTCAAAGATGGAACTTCCTGACAAATCAATGCATTTTGCTTGAAAAGCAACCTATTTTTGATATAGCTTTCCCACAAAAAAAATCTTTAAAGAGTGTTGTTCATTTTCAAAGAGGCCAAGAGGGAGCGTTTTGAAGATGCTTGCCACTTAAGCCGCTGCAGAGCGTTTGGAAATGGGGATAATGTTGAACTCTTAGGTTAGAAAGTCTTACCTGTAGAAAATTTAGCTGTAGATTATTTTCTGTTGAAGCCACTCCTCTGTGGAGGAACCTGTTTGGTGAGTAGTCAGCACAGGCTTGAGAAGCTGCGTTTGATTAAACACACTTGTGTGTTGGTGTTCTGCGTGTGTGTCCCGTTTGCCTCCTGGTGTTCTGAGCACCTGGCGGCAGTCCTCTGTGACTAGTGAAACTACTGAATGAAGCGTGGCTAGGACGACTGTGGACCTGACCGGGTACAAGTTTTCTTGTCCGCTCCTCTCTCTCAACTGGAAAGAAATTCTTAACATTTTGCTTATAACTGATTTATTATTCTTCCTGTGTGATGCTTTTCCCTGTATAAATGTTTTCAGTATGAGTATGTGGACTAATATCTGCTTTCTTGTGCATTATTTGTAGGGCAACTCCATAGACAGGCAGTGTTTGTTGTTAAGTCGTAGGGCGATTTATTCCATCCAGGCACCGTTAGAGGGGGGTAATGAGTGGGCATTCTTAACTGGAGTCCTAGACACTTGGACAGCTTACAGCTGGGTACCTTGTAGATACGGATTTGAATAGAACCCAAGACTATACCTCTGTTTCCCTCCTCCATATGGATTATTGGAACAAAATGATAAAGAAAAAATTATGGCTGTGTGGGTCCCTAACGAGAGGGCTTAACTTCTCTATGTGTTGCCCAGATTTGAAGGCCTGTGCAGTTGGGTGAGTCGGTGCTACTTGTAATGACAACAATAAGAAACTAGAGGACGTTTTACTCATTTGCTCAAGTCTTTCTTTTTTCCTTCTGGAAAGTTATGTAAGGGAGCACAATCTTTTAATGTAAACTGATGCTTTTGATTGAGCAGAAAATCCGAGGACCAAGGGTTACTTTTAAGTTTTTATTATAGAAACAAAGCTTCTTATATGTCTGTCCACACCCAGGACGAGAGAGCAGTAGTTATGAGCTCTGGATCCATCAGGGCAGTTAAAAGGACAAGGTACATTTTTGCAGAAATAGACTATGTGGTCAGAGTCTACCATTTTGTTGTCCTATAATCAGTTGTGACCAGTGACACACCAAGGCCATGGCCACCACATCTTTGATTACAGACTTAGAACCTTTGGACTTGAATCATTATTGCAATCTAGGCTTCAGGTGAGTCTTGCCCGAGTGCACAGAGGTATTTGATTTGCTTCTGGGAAATGAGTAGGAGTCAAGGAAAGGAAGAACTAGAGTTCTTTGCAAGTAGAGAACTGAAAAAAAGTCTAGGACATAACTGTAGAGGGGCCCTTGCAAGAGAGCTGCAGAGGTCATTGCTGTCTCAATCACACACTGTGTAGTTGGAGGAAGAGTAAGATCCACAACTGTCTTCTTTGACCTTGCCCTAGAGCGCTCTTGCCACCGCACCACCTTGCTTTGGCTTCCTTACACACCCATGTTCTGAACAATTGCTCCCTGTTTCAGCACCAACACACCCAGGCCTCTGAGTGCTGGATTCCGACTACATCTCTTTCACCTCCCACACCCAGCCAGGCTGGTTCAGGCCAGTTCAAGAGACCCTTCCTCAGTATCTATCCTATGTATAGCACTGCTAAGCTCTGTGAATCACAAGAAGATGGCTTTTCAAATTCAACACTCCCCTTTCCGTCTTTTGTTACCTTTAAAATAACTTGTGTTCCCTTAGTTCACTGAATCTGTACTGAGCATCCACCCTGTGTCTGGCCCTGGGATGCACATTGGCTGTAAACTAACTGAAAAGGCAGACTGACACTGACTTCAGAGCATCCTCTTTTGCTTAGATTTGAGTGATAACCTTCACACGCCCAGACTCTCCCCAGATCTGTCTCACACATTACCACCGGAGGAGTCTTTGGAACAAACTTTTGGTCTGTAGGGGGTCTCAATTGCCTTAGGCTGAGGCTTCCTCCTTAGGGCTTGATATTCTCAGTTTTTTCTCTTGTCTCCCATGGCTCTTCCACACACCCTCTAGAGCAGCAGATCCATTTATCATTACCTCTACAAGCCTCCCGTATCCCACCTTTGGGTTGCTGGTCATGCCAGCCCCTCTGCTGAAATGCCCTACCCTCTGGCCCTAATCATCATCTCTTAAGGCCCAACTTCATCAGTTCCGCATGAAGAGCCCCAACTTATTATCATCCCCCCTTTCCTCTAAAAACAAAAACACTTATCATTTCCTTCCCTGAAGGCTAGATGGGAAAAACGTGCTCAGAAAGTGGGCCACGTGCTATAAAGTAATGGGTTTTCATTGTGTGTAACAGTGCCTCCTCCATTGATAATCTAATGAGAGTCCTAGGCTCTATTCCCAGAAAAGTGCGCATATGCAAATCTCCACAATTTTACATATAAATTCAAAGATTTGGAAAGTAGAATTGCTCTTTGATTCCTCAGGGGGTCCACAGACCCCAGATGAGGAGGTCTTGTTCTAAAGCGTCTCTAAACAGCACTCTTGGTGTTGTCTTGTCTTTTACACTTCCAAGGAGGAGAGAATTGGTATGAGACGTGCAAGCACAAGGCTATTGTTATTGACCCTGAATATGTGCTGAGTGACAGAGAGGGAAGAAAGACGAGCTGCCTCACATTGTCTAGGAAAATATCTTTATTCAGACAGAGCTGGGAATTTTTATGTTATGTGTGTGTACATTGTCTTTGGGATGTACGCACCTTTGAGGGTATACAAGCCAGCATGGGGAATTGGATCCTGCTCAGCTGGAGATATGGGTGTTTGTAAGAAGTGGGTGCTGGGGTTAGAATTCTGGTCCTCACAGGCTGGAGAAATGCTTAGTCTGTTAAAGGCTAGGCTCACAAGCAGGAATATTAGGATTCTGGGCCTCATAATTGAGCAACAATCACTCGAAACCACTGAGCCATTCCTCTAGCTCCCAGATTTACAATTTTGAAAGCGATAGAGTTTGTCATTGTTGTCATTGTTACTTATTTTTAGCCACTTCTGAAGTTGATGTAGCAAAGTGAGTTCAGGACCAAGTCAGCATCATTTCTGCCCTGAAACCCACCACTTCTGTGTGGCTAAGCGGTGGCCTTGGGGCTGAAAGAAGTGGTTGGAGTTTTTTTTTTTTTTTCTTGTGGAATGAGATCTATGCAACAAATTTTCCTGTGTTCATCTTATTATGGGTCTATTGCTGATTCTATTTTCCATAAGATGGTGATGCATTATCCTGGTAGGGAACAGCTCAGTTTATTCTTCAATTTAAAAACAAAAAATAAAAACAAACAAACAAAGCCAGAACAAAGTTATCTTTTTTTTTTTTTTTTGGTTTTTTTCGAGACAGGGTTTCTCTGTGGTTTTGGAGCCTGTCCTGGAACTAGCTCTTGTAGACCAGGCTGGTCTCGAACTCCCAGAGATCCGCCTGCCTCTGCCTCCCGAGTGCTGGGATTAAAGGCGTGCGCCACCACCGCCCGGCTCGAACAAAGTTATCTTTAGTGCTTCCAACTGACCTTGGTTCCTTTCTGGGTGTGCAGTACTGTTTGACTAGATTTAGGACTAGTATGCTAAATATACTAGGAATGTATATTCAGTGGCAGTTTCCCACTTTGAAAGCTGAGCTCTGCCAGTCCACTGTTAGCAGGTCCAGAGAGCAATGGTGAACACCTGTGACATGCTTTGCCTATATTCTGTGCTTCTGGTGAGCTTAATGAACTTGCAGAGTTCACAAGGATCCCCTTGGTGGGTAGGTAAGACTGGTGTGCCCCTTGCCTGTAGAATTCTTACTAATGCCATGGGTAGGTAGCAAACACACATAGGATGCTTCTTTTATTTCAATTCTTTGCTCTTTCTTTTTTCCAACTCTTCACTTGGAGCTTTTGGTCTTTGAAGAATACCTGAAGCCCTGAACCAGTGATTGCTAGCACCAGTCAGTACTTTCCTTTTCAGAGTACAGTTATGGGAGGTAGTGAAAAGCGGCTTCAGGGAAAGGGACTCGGCAATTTTAGAGCTGATAGACAGTGTGACCACAGACATTCTGTCTTTTGCTGAAGCAGAGAGCTTCTCCAGACCCACAGTTTCCAAAAGTCATAGTGCTAGACCGTGACAACCAGGAAGCTCTGGTTTCAGGAGGATCATTGCTCCAGGATATCTAGCTTGTGGGCACAAGAAGGGGCCTTTGCGATAGTGAAACCAGTAGTGAAATAGTGTTATGAATCTGGTCCCACACCAAGTACTGCTACAGTGCTTTGGAGTTCAGTGCACAGTGAGTTCCAGCATTGCTTCCCAGCATTTAAGAACACTAGCACCCCTCATTACAACTTTCATTACTCTAAGACAACCTACTGACTGCTGAGTACTACACATACCCATTTATTATGGCCGGTTTATAGTTTAAAAAGCAGTATTGTTAAATGAGAACAATTTGTCTCCCAACTTCTGTCAGCAAGCATTTATTTTTATTTATTTGCTTTTATTCTTTGACTCTCGAATACTTCATTTGTCAATAATATTTTAGTGTTTTCCTTTATTTAGCACTTGAGCTACCCTCTGATCTTAAAAAAAAATGGATTTAGCTTATAAATTGCCCTGCTTATTAGTGCTGGCCTAACCGGTAACAAAAAAGACAGAATGGTTGTTTCATGGCTATAAGAGAGGGAGGCTCTTAAGTCGGAGGTGTTTCCCCTTTAACAGCTGTTCAGAATGGAAGTGCTCTTCTATACTTCTTTCCATCTTACACGCTTTGGGAGATCACTTTTGATTATTAGCCAAGTCCAGTGGCTATATTTTAATTTTTCATTATATTTGATTTTTTGTAGTATTATGACAGAAGACAACCTTTCAACGTTTGGCAGGTCTCTCTGTCAACAGGAGTGCCATGTTTCTGTGGCTCCTGTCAAAGTGATTTTGCCTTAGTAACAAGCCTCCTGAGATCAGATCATGCCAACTGTAAACAGAGTTTTGACTCACTTACCTGCACTGTATTAAATGACAACTCAAGTTTTAATTTGGGTGATGGTTTCTTCATGATGGTGGTTGGGAAGGTGAGGTACCAATTCCCTTTCCTGGAATTCTTAGCCTTTCACCGAGACAAGAGAGAAAGAAGTGCCAGTAAATACCAGGACTCAGACGACAATGGAGTGTGGCTGGGTTGATGATGTGTTGGTCATGGAAAGTTTTTCAGGTGATAGAATGTTATGAAAATAATAAAAAGCACAGGCTTCCAAATGAAAAAAAAAAAACAGTCTCCACAGTGATGGATTGCCTATGGATGTACAAGTGGCCAATGTGGGAAGCACCGAAGTAAGGTTTGTTTAGCTTAATTTCTGACCATAGACATGATCTCTGAATACATAGTGCTGTTCATCCTGATCTCAGTACTCAATATCCCAGCGCTGTCCCACTGAGGACAGTCACTGCTCATCCTGATCTCAGTGCTCAATGTCCCTGCTGTCCCACTGAGGACAGTCACTGCTCATCCTGATCTCAGTGCTCAATGTCCCTGCTGTCCCACTGAGGACAGTCACTGTTCATCCTGATCTCAGTGCTCAATGTCCCTGCTGTCCCACTGAGGACAGTCACTGTTCATCCTGATCTCAGTGCTCAATGTCCCTGCTGTCCCACTGAGGACAGTCACTGCTCATCCTGATCTCAGTGCTCATGTCCCAGTGTTACCTCACTGAGGACAGTCACGTTCATCCTGACCTCAGTGCTCAGTACTGTTCCACTGAGGCTGGATTGGCAATTTGCTGTGCAATTGACAGGTCCTGGCCCAGTGTGTTTACTCTTTTGATTTCGCAACTACGTTCTAGTATCAAAAGTCATGGCACTTATAGAAAGTGTATGAAGCAATTATATTTTTTTTGAGACGTTTTAAAATGTTTGGAGACACAATAAGTCATTCATATTTAGGCATCTGTCCAAACCATTTATTTAATTTATCCGTAGAACTTTCTGTACTTGTCTCTCTGTATCTACTTATGAGCAATGCAGATGTATATGTGCAGACACTGTTGTAGATGTGTATATGGCTCTGCTGATTTATAATGTTCATTTCAAAGCATCTTAGGCCTAGACATTAGAAAGTGTATTATTATTCAGTAGAGTTTAAGGAATGGGGGCGATTACTTATCACCCAGAAGGCTGTAGCTGATTATAGAATGTGTCTGTAACCCGTGTGGCAAGTGGATAGATATGGATGCATGGTTTGGGTCAAGTTATCTACTAATTTTTCTGTAAAGTAGGTGGCAAGAAATATCAAGAGTTAGATGTAGCTTGTTTTCACTTGAGGCAGGATCTCATGTGGCTAGATCTCACTTTCGCAAGAACTCGTTTTCATTCTGGTTTGGGGGATACTTGGTCTAGAATGCCTTGACAATTCCCCAAATTCTTTCACCATACTAAGGTGAAAACAAGAAGATCAAGGGAGATGAACCCCAATTATTCAATAAAAATGCATTGTCGGAGAATTTGGGCACCTTTCTGAAATGCAAGCATTGCTAACACCAGGTAATCACCCTCCCGTCTCACTTGTGTATCCGAATGTGTGGAAGATGTCCGGGTTTACCCTAAGAAAACTAAAAGAGCGAGGGCCTACTGGCGTGATTTGGGGCTGATGGAGGACATTTACCTGTGTCGTCTGGTTCGCAAACACGGTGACTAGCATCTCACTGATGGAGGGCCCCACTGTGGAGGCATCGTGCAGTGTTATTTCTGGAGCCACGAGTTACTTTAGCACAGTTGCTGTTAGTAGTTTATAAAGCCATACTTCCACTTGTACACTTGATTGTAAGATAGACTTAAATTGTGCACTATGTTGATTACTCCATGTAAATGTGGAAATTCTCTATATTTGGTCTTATGCTGTATGTATTTGATGTGTAAATGATAACTAATGGATACGAAATAGCTTGCTGTGAATGTCTTTATTCCAATTCATTTCTATTGAAAATTTAAATGTTTAATATTTATACCTATGAGGAAATATGGAAGTTTGCATAGAATATGCTGTTAAGAAAGTGATGGCCAGCCGGGCGGTGGTGGCGCACGCCTTTAATCCCAGCACTCGGGAGGCAGAGGCAGGCGGATCTCTGAGTTCAAGACCAGCCTGGTCTACAAGAGCTAGTTCCAGGACAGGCTCCAAAACCACATAGAAACCCTGTCTCGAAAAACCAACAAAAAAAAAAAAAAAAAGAAAGTGGTGGCCTCTTCTTAACATTTTAAGGTTATTGTAGGGCTATTGTACAATTGGAACAAGGTAATGACTTCCTGCTTGGATTCTGAATGAGTGTTTTAAAGAGAAGCAGCACTGGTCTCTGGATTATGCAGCTCTCCCTTTTCTGCTTTTATGTCATGCTCCATGTGGCCTCTAAGAACACTAGAAGGAGTGATAACCCTGGCTAGGAAGGAATCAGAGGGACAGCTAGTGGCACTTCTTAAAACTTTAGCTGTGGCTAGAACCTGTAAAGAACCCACTTGGATGATATTGCCTCTCTTAGTTTCTATACTTCTTCAATAAAGTAACTATACTTTCCATTTACAGACCAAGGGGGTGGGGTTTGCATATGGCTAATGTGTGGATAAATCTTGGCACCAGAGGTACACAGGTAAAGTTTTGGAAAGATAAATCTTGTTTCTACATGTCTCACAGTGTGTGGCATTGAACCTTAGAGGGTAACTGGACCTATAGGTATATCAGGTTCTGTGGAGATATGCAGAAAGTTTCAAATGTAATCATCAAGTTGGATCCCTTAATAATCAAATAATAGTTTTTTTTTTTACCATTTAGGATAAATTACAATATGGTAATATCCAAAATCTACCACACAATTAGAATACTACATAGAAAATGAGTGGATTCTCTCTCTGATCCTACATTCTAAATAGAATGGGAATTTCTGTCCTGTGAGAACTCATGGGTTGGGATGTAGCTCAATGACAGAGTGATTGCCTAGCACCCCCAGAGTCTCCACCACCCCATATACACAAATCTTGGTTAAGAACTCCATTTTCTCCTCCCCCCCCCACTCATATTTTTCAAGACAAGGTTTCTCTGTGTAGCCCTGACTGTCCTCAGATTGCTCTGTAGACCAGGCTATCCTTGAATAGAGAGATCTGCCTGCCATTGCCACCTTAGTGTTGAGACTAAAGGCGTGTAGCACCACCATATGGTCTAAGAACTCCATTCTTAACCATTCACCCATGCCTACTTTAACGTTTTGTACTTTTTGAGACACAGCATTATTTTGTAGACTTGGAATGCCTGGGGCTTGCTATGTAGACCAGGCTGGCCTTGAACTCACAGAACTCCCTTTTCTCTGCCTCTTGAATTCTGGCATTA